AAACCCATTATCTTGCTTAACCAAATATCACCTTTTTGCAAAGAAATTGAGCTAGTAAAATTGAAGAAAAATCATTTTGTAAAATAAAAAAAATACATGTAAACTACTGATATCAACGTTCATACACCTAAATTATTAAACATGTTTTAGGTGTCGTTAGTTTATGTAACTCAATAAAGGAAGTTATAGGATTTCGTGTAAAGAAAATTGTAATTATGTCTCGAACAAAAAAGAACACATCTTCGACTTCTTCCTATAGTTGTGTACATGGTAATAAATACAGCTGCCAACTTATGAGATTTTATCTTGAAATCGTATTAAATCGCTAATACGTGTATGAGTGGAGGTTAATACGATTTTAAACAACATCATCAACACGACTCTCCAAATTACAATTGTATATACTATTAAGTGAAAACTGCACCAAAGCAAGTGTTTAAAGACCGCTATTCTTAAATTAAGCATGAAGTTTAATTGAGCAAAAATTATCATAAATTTTGTTTTTCTATAAAACCTTCACTTGGGCCTTCTCTTTCACTCCAACGTCACTTCACTCCATATAAATGGGCTCAGAATCCAATAAAGAAGTCCACATAAAGCCTAGCATAATTATGGGCCACAAGCTTAATCTGCATTGGGAATTTTGATACGTGATCTGCATGCTGCTCGAACTGGGCTAGGCCCAAATATTTAATCACATTACAAAATTTAAATAAATAACTTTAATTTATTTATAAACATTGACGGAAATTTTCTAAATAAATTCAAATTTTTTTACCCTAATAAATTATTATTTGAACAATGAAACTTTTACCAAATTTCATAATTATTTGTTGACTTAATCTACTATGCTAAAAGTTATATTTATTCGATAATATTATGAGGTTTTAACGACACGAGTCAATGTTCTCTACTTCGCTCATTCTCAAATTCCAACTCATCGAGATATTTGACCNTCATGTTCTCTACTTCGCTCATTCTCAAGTACCCAACTCATCGAGATATTTGACCAATCAAATTGATTTCACCCATTGACGAATAAAAAAACCATTAAAATCACAAATATATATATATATATATAATGCTATCAAAGGATTTAGATGAGATACACAGCAATCAAGTGAAATTTGATTCTTTGCACGGTCATGTTATAGAATTAAATTCGACAGGTGATCCGTTCAATACACTCCAAGTGTACTAGTGTCACTTTTAACTATTTATGTGATAAGACAAATCACAAACCCGAATAGTGAATCGGACAATACTACAACATTCTGATACAAGATGACAACCCTTATAAATAGGTAGTGAACAATTTTTTTATAATCAAAATATAAGTTGTGTCACACTGAACTTCTCAACGCAAGTACCCAACTTATTTTTATCACAAGTGATCATAGGTAATTTAATTCGCACGCTCAATAATTAAATATATACAATAAATGAAATAAAAATAATTTTATTTAATATAAAAATATTGTTATTTTTACATCAGCAAAATTATACTCAGTTTTCTCATCTAATAAAGTCTCATTCTCTTGTTTGTTAAATTGCGTTTAATTCGCGTTCATTTCTCGTATTTTTTGGTCTTGCTCTGCGTTTGGAGGAATTATTTCCAAACAGTTGCTAAAGGTTTTATGAACCAGTTTTCTACACAACAATTATCAATGAATGAATTGATTCAAGAAAAAGAAAACTATTAAAATAGCAAGCTAAGATTAAGACAATGTCTTAAGAACACGAGCACTGAGGGAGACTGAGAACTTTCTTTAAAATTTGTTACCAGGAGAATCCTTATTTTCTATAGTCAATTTTCCACTATTACAAAATTTCCTTCGTTTAATAAAATTTGAAAACTTCATGATATCATATCTCGATAATTGTCTGAGAACTTTTACCCGAGCTCGTTGGATCTTCGTAAATAAATCAAATTTAACGATCGAGTATTAGTAAGAAAATAGTTCCAATTGGAAATGAAATCTATAGACGTTGAGAAAACTGAAGATTATGGGCTCGTTTGAGCTCCATTATTTTGAAAAGAATGCATTTTTAATTAGTGATTGAGGGAGAATATGTGATTAAACAGTAAGGTAATGTTTTGAATTTGTGTGTAATGTTATTTTATTGAATAATGTGCGATTAAAAAGAAGAGACAGAAAAATGTATTTTGAAAATAATGAGAATCAAACGGAGGCAAAACTCGTTTTATTCAATATCGGAAACATCACTAGTAGGCAACAAAC